CAGGTTATCTAAATTAACTGTGTTAGTAATCTTTGCAGAGTATAAGGACTTATAATGGCTCATGGTTTCCATTAAAATAGCTTTTTGATTATTTATAATTTCACCCGTCTTGTTAAAAAGGATTGCCATATTTTTTTAAACGAAATGCCTATTTTCTAGGTTACAAAAGTATCTGGTCGGTTTTTCTCCCTCTAATACCCATTTTGCTCGCGATCTTATTAAGGAGCCCTCTAACCTTTTTTTCCTTATATCTTGCAGTTCTTGTTGCTTATTTAACAAGACATTTTCATTTTCTGTATTAGTGCATTGTTGTAAAATTTCAATGTCTTTAATAAGTGTTTTCTCATTGATATTGTCCTGTCGTTTTTTAAAAGTGGCATAAGAGATTGTGTGACCGCGAATTTGCATTAACAATGTCTCTAAGAATAACTTATCATCAATAGATAGCGAAATATTTTGATTAGTAACAGAGTCGTTTACTGATTGATTTTGATCATCCGAGGCATACTGTTGAATAATACGCTGTACTAATTGTTTAATTTGTTTAACATACTCGACATCTTTCAATAGCGAATTATTAAATTTCCAATAGGATTTACCTGCCTTAAATTCACCCAGTTTTAATGTTAATATAACAATTGAATGGTCCGAGCGATAACCCGGCAAAATACAAGTGTTCGCAATATCTAAAAATAAGTCGCTCGAGATCAAAAACATGTCTAAACGGGCTTTTTTACTGGATTACGTTTAAACCATGTATATTGTCTAGATTCTAAAAATTGTGTTCCAAAATAATACTTAATACTGTGTCTCTCGCCCTCGGATTATTTATGTTAACATAATTAAAACAGTCAATATCTGGGTTAAGTACTAAGTTGAAATCACCCGCAATTATACATTTATTATTCAGAAGACGGAGTATCTCATTTAAACTGTTATAAAAATCCGGATCGTCTCTATTTGGGCCATAAACACATATTAAAGACATATCTATACTTGCTATAGCGCAATGTACAACTAAAAGATTCCCCGCGTTGTCTTTTTCAACGGAGTGTAATTTAAACTCAAAGTTGTTGTTGATTAAAATGGCAACACCTCTCGACTGACTACTATAGTTGCTAAAGTAAGCTTCATAACCCCATTGACTTCTAATAATTTTAGATTCTTTGTCTGTAAAGTGTGTGTCCTGCAAAAAATAAATATTAAATTTCTTATCACGAATATAACCAAATACATCTTTTCTTTTCCGACTGTCCCCGATCCCCTGTACATTTAAACTAGCTATTGTTATACCATTTGACATTCTAAGTCAGAATCAGATAACCTTTGTATTGCCATGAATAATCGACATTGGTTTGAAAGAAGTAAATTACCATATAATACAAGTACCAAATGTAAATCAAATATAATCAATTTTTGAAGACACGTACATATTGAACCAAAAAAAGTGAATGATTGACTCATACTTTAAACAATGAATAACCCGTTAAGTGGAGTTTTTATAATGATGCTTAACTTAGCATTATATATATATATATATATAAAAAAAAAAATTCAGAGGTAGCAAAAAATACCGCTGACTAAGGTTTAATCTTGCTTAACGTCTAACTTAACACAGCAGTTTGTATGTAAATATGTATACAGTACTTTATCGTGTTGTTTTCAGTATATAAGACATTACAAATATTTCTTAATGTATGAACACAAATTTTAAATTTTCAAAAAGTTCATGTTTTTATTTGTTTACTGCGCATGTTAAACTAAATAACCTTACTTTTGTAATTAAAACATATATTACATTTAGATATGCACAAAAAATCTCAAGTATAATTTCAGTGTTCAATGTATAAATAACATTAAACTAATGTTTAGAAAAATATTTGCATGGTTGCTTTATTTGTACCCTACAAAAAAAAAAAAAACGAAACAAAACAATCATCTACAAGTATATGTAGTTTGTGAGTTTATAAAGGCACATCATCATATGTAGTTTGTGAATGCAGTTATCACAAATGCACTGTATCTTAAACAAAATGGCTTTTGTACGTATGTGTAGATGTACACGAGTTTCAACATCATTAAGTAATACCGCTTTCAACGGTAAAAAATTGGAACATATACATCCAATATCTAAGTAAAATTTAATTATATATGTCTCAAATAAAATAATACCTTAAACAAAGTGTGACTTTTGTAAATATGTGAAGATGTACATGAGTTTCGACATCATTAAGTAAAACCGCTTTCAACGGTAAAAAATTTGGAACATATACCAATATCAAAGTATAAATTTAATTGTATATGTCTCGAATAATATACATGTAATACCTTAAACAAAAGGTTACAACGGAGAAAAAATTCGAACATATACATACAATATCAAAGTATAAATTTAATTGTATATGTGTCGAATAAAAAAAAACCTTAAACAAAGTGTGGCTTTTAAACATATGTGAAGATGTACATGAGTTTCGACATCATTAAGTAAAACCGCTTTCAACGGTAAAAAATTTGGAACATATATCAAAGTATAAATTTAATTGTATATGTCTCGAATAATATACATGTAATACCTTAAACAAAAGGTTACAACGGAGAAAAAATTCGAACATATACATACAATATCAAAGTATAAATTTAATTGTATATGTGTCGAATAAAAAAAAACAAAAAAAAACCTTAAACAAAGTGTGACTTTTAAACATATGTGAAGATGTACATGAGTTTCGACATCATTAAGTAATACCGCTTACAACTGGAAAAAAATGGAACATATACATACAATATCTCGGTATAAATTTAATTGTCTATGTGTCGAAAAAAAGAATACATCATTAAGTAATACCGCTTTCAACGGAAAAAAAATGTGGAACATATACATACAATATCTAAGTATAAATTTAATCGTATATGTGTCGAATGACCGAACTCAAATTTCTGTTAAATTGAATATGAAAAACAGTGAGTGTAAAAGGTATAAATCGCACATATGTACTTATATGAATTTTCAATAAAATATATAGATATATGTGTAGAATGTCAATAAGTGTATAAATCCCACACTTTCAGTCAGGCTTGGTTAAATTTATATTGATATTCTTTGGAAAATTAAAATAAAATAAGTGGCCGAAGTTTAATCTTCCGTGCAATCATGTCTTTAAGGCAGTTTACAAAGTCAGAACTTGTCTATTACTTAGTTAAATATGAATGTGATGGAAAGTACCATGTGAGGAGTAAGGGATTCGTGAAAACTTCTGAAGAGGTAATTTTTTAGGACATTTATTTTTATTCAAGTGCAGATACACAAAATGAAAAAAATATTTCTTTTAATTACAACGGACTGATATACTTCTTTAAATAAAATATTTTAAAAGATAAATAAGATAGTCTCTTGTCGTCAGACTCAAAGAAAACTGTATATACATAAAATAGTATACAAACGAAAAATAACGAAATCAAAATCATGCCTGCTCCTCCTGGTTCATTCTGTTTAAGATGTATCTACAGTAACTCACGTGCTGTAACATATGACAAGTGTCAAAGATGGCATCATATAAAATGTGGAAACACAGGTATGATTAATTTTAAGATGAAGTATTACATACTATATTAAAAGTTATTACGAAAATGAACTATGTCAAAATGTTTAATATGTTTTTTTTTTGTTTTTGTTTTTTATTTACTAAGCTTCATACATATTAAATATTAAATAGATAAAATAATATAACTAATAAAAAAATGTGCTTTGTTAAAATATTATTTTTTATTGTTGCAGGTATTTCTCAGCAAGACTACGATGCAGCCGTAGAGGGTAATATTGATCTGCGTTTTATATGCGCAATTTGCCGTTTTGATGACGAGTCAATGGAGGTAGAACCGATGGAAGTCGACAACTGTGAAGATGTGACAATGATCTATAGTGATCTGGAAGTGCCAGAACCAGTCTGTAACTCTAGTGTCTCCACGATAGAAGAAATTAGTGACTACGTTCGCGCCGACAACACCAGTGCATTTGACGTGCCAGGGACCGATAGAGATATTGAACCTGACAATATAGAGACTGATATTCCCGATGACACTGTTGTGGGGAAACCATCAGCATCAGAAGTGATTTACGAAGTAATAGAGAAGGGTACTGAACGAGGGAAACCGAAATTGGTGACATCGGATGGGTATTCGTTTGTAATCAATAGAACATTCAATTCAGGCGTTGTAGAGTGGCGGTGTAGTGTTAGAAGAAAGGACTTAAAGTGTAGCGCAATCGTTAAACAGAAAGGGGATTCGTTTCAATCATCAAGTGTTGGTCACAGTCATCCGTCTTAACCTGGACTAAGCGTGTCAGTTCAAGTGAAAAAGAAGGTAACGTTATCATCAATATATTCAATGATTACAATACTCACCCATTTTCTGAATCAAAATTAAAAGCTGTCATCACAAGGAAAAAAATGAAGATATTTATAGCATATGTAAGAAAACCAGACTAGTTTAACATGAATTTTAATTACACTGAAACCAAAATATTAAAGAAATAAATGGAAAATGAATAAATAATGATCATATGTTTTCATTGTTCTCACATGCAATTATAACAAATATATGATACATGTATTAAATCAATTTATATTTCCAGTTGAAGGAGGTTGCCGTCACCGATATTTTCGAAACAGCACCAGTAATTGTGAAGAACGTAACAGATTCACTACAAGACGCCAATCAACCAGAAGCCTCTCGGACCTCAGACCAGGCACTTTACCAGATGTGCAGTCGTGCACGTTCGTGTCTCCGACCAAAAGACCCAACAATTTGATTTTGAGGTATAAATCATAAATATTTTAATCTTAATGTAAAACATATAAGTATAGAAAAAAACAAAAATATAAAGAGTTTATATAAATTAAAGCGATCACAATTAAAATATTTATTTCATTTATATACATGTATATATAAACGTGAATACGAATATTATTATTGTTATAATTTAAATTATAATATTTTATATTTTTCAGATTGACGAGGAATACCTTGGTCGAACAATAGAAGAACCTTTCTACCGGGAAACAGTTACGGTGAAGGACCGAAAACATATTATCCTGTCTACAGACGTACAGCTCAGTCTTCTCTCCAGAGCGAAGTCATGGTACATCGACGGTACATTCAAAGTGGTGAAGACTCCCTTCACTCAACTATTGTCTGTTCACGCTTTCATCAAGTCCGGGGAAAACATGAAGCAGGTCCCTTTATGTTTTGTACTAATGTCTGGGAAAAAACGGCGTGACTATAAAAAGGTAATGAAATATTTACATTAATAATTTTACTTGAGTTGTAAATAAAAATGATGACATTCAGCAAAAAAAATTAATATTTTCTCTATCTTTATTTTGTTGATTTTTTCCTACATTATTCTGTTTGATACAAACTAGATAAAACTATAAACTACAGTTATTACTGGTTATTTTTTCAGGTCTTCCGAGCGATCAGCAATCTAACACCTGGGCGATGCGTTGAGACATTCGTTGTAGATTTTGAAGCAGGAATGTGGCAGGGGCTAAGAGACGTGTTTGAGGATCCCCACATTAAAGGCTGTGCGTTTCATTTCGGACAGGCCCTCTTCCGTAAAGTGCAAGAACTTGGTCTACAGGTATCTATATTACGCTACCCTTGCTATAATAATTTATAGAAATGTTGAATGAATCATGTTTATAAGTAAATTATGTTTGTAAAATAAATAAATTTTACTGTGAAAGAGAAGAAACTTAAACGATATCAAACCAAGCAGACGAAGAAGATTCAAGGACGACTGTGGGCCCTTTGGGAACAGTACAGATTAAGAACAATTACCACCAGCGCTTTGCTTGATGCTTGTGCATCCCTGTATGGTCCCGCATAAACAATTTAACGGTGTATAAGAGTTCCCTCACAACTGGACACTACTAGTTTTCTGTTAACAATGTGTTATGTTAATATGTAATAATAAAAAAGCTATTTCTTGTATATTTTTTCTGGCTATAGAATTGCTTTTTGTAATTTTGGTAATAAAATATGTTTTTATGTGCTTCTATTCAATAGCTAATTATAGTATTCTTTTCCAGGTTTTAAAAGTTTTAAAAAATGTAAATGTTGTAATAAAACATGTTAGTTATATAAATAACTTATCTACAATGTAATTTTGGTAATAAAATATATATATATGATTATGTGTCTTTATTCAATAAAAGCTGTTTTCGTATAATTATCCAGTTTATATAAATAACGAAGTTTTTCTCATCGGCAATGTGTGATGTAATTTTTATTCTATAAAAGTTGTTATTATATTTTTCCAGTTTATATAAATAACGAAGTTATAAAATGTGTTATGTAGTTTTGTTAATAAAATATATTTATTTTCATGTATTTTTATTCTATAAAAGTTGTTAGTATATTTTTTCCAGTTTATATAAATAACGAATTGTGTTATGTAATTTTGTTAATAAAATATTTGGTTTTCGTGTCTTTTGATTCAATAAAAGCTGTATTTAGTGTAATTAATTTATGTAATTAACAAATGAAATATAAAATGGCAAAAAGTTTTCCATCAACAGTTTGAATACAGGTGTGAAAAAATTTGTATTTGAACACGTGGCGAATCGTTATTTAACTGTGGCGGATCGTTATTACTCTGTGTCGAATCGTTATGTGGCGAATCGTTAGTGTGGCGAATCGTTACATTACCGTCAGAATGGGGTTTTAAGAATCAGTTTGCAATGAAACTGTTTCATATGATGAAGAACTCTGGAAATGAGACACATAATTATAGCCCAGCGTTCAAAGAGACATCAACGGGCGCTTGCATATATTTCAAATGACCAACCGACGTTTGCATATTTTACATGATCAAACGACGTTTGCAAAATCGACAATAAGTGGAAAAACATAGGTTTATATATCGAATATAACCTTGCTAATGAAATTATAAATAAGTTAGGGACGGAAATTGCTTGTAAAAAGACATATCTTCTATTATTTTCCCTCTACATGGGTTTCCAGTGAACAAAAAAGAATAGAAAAGGTAAAACCTATCGGCGTTTGCCTTGCAAAAAGAAAATTTGTGTCGAAGTGTTCTAAAATAACACATAAGTCTTGCAATTACTACATACATAAAATAAAAGCACAATTAACGCCGGGTCCTAAGGTCTAGGTCTTAATTTTGTGGATGCAGTAGAAAAAAAGATATCTTCAAATGACTACCTGAAATTGGGTCCGTGTTTGCTGAAATGTTAAATCGGCGTTTGCATTTGTGGTCACGTGACAAAACTTGTTCATCCAGGGTGTACATTCTTCCAATGAGCAAACACATTCGGCGGGGGATGGCCATGTTGACATGGCTCTTGTTACTTTTGGTGATAATCTTTTCACTAGTGGTTTATCAGAATATAATCATATGATATATTACAGTAAAACACTGGAAAGCATGAAATAAAATGATAATTATGTTCTGAATAAACAATTATTTGTTTTGTTTTCTTTTAATTTCAGGATTGAAAGGAATTGGAAACATTTGTAAAGACACTAAGATGGAATTTTCAGTCACCAGAAGCTGTTGTACAGAATTGTCAACAAAATAGAAATGGGAATTGATCTTCGATTTGCTCTTTCTATAAATACATGTATATAGATAATTATTGATGGATTAACTTAAGAAGATGTTCCAATGATAAATCAATACATTTAGCAAAATTATGAAATACAGTAAAATTAATGAAAAGAAAAAGATATTTATCAGATTAGAATAAGATCAAACAAATATTGAATATTTGGCAAAGTTAAAGTACTAGATTTATAATCTGAAACCGGAGTTTAAAATATACAGAACTAACAGATATTTATATATTAGTTATACCCTGTAAACATACTTTTACTGCATCTGCACAAAATAAGTAAAATAACATTAAAGACCCATTAAGCCTGAATAATGCTATCATTTTTATTATTCAAAAACTTTTTACTTTTGGTGTTTTCAAAATATTTCTCATTGGTTATATACCCAAGCCATCTTTTGCATTTGAATAAATTCTGTTGTATAGTTTTCATTCTGCTATATGTCTATATTTGACCCGTGCATATGCCTTTTAAATTCTTTATTATCAGTTCAGATATTCTAAGGGAGTCCTCTGGTTAATTCAATAGGTAGAGCGTTGGACTGTAAATCGGGAGACCCGGGTTCGATTCCCAGACGGCACAGGTCACTGTCGTTGTGATTGTCATGAAATCCTTCCTAAAGTCACTCGCACTTTACCTCTACTTTTGAATGTACAGAAGTAATCAGTTCCTTGCATGAGTGAAGGCAACTAGTACTGGTAAACTGTTTGATAGCCTGCCAATGAACTTTGAGTTGCTGAACTGTGCTCTGGTAAATTCAATGTGGCTTACTGCCCTGATCCTGAGTGAAAACAACCAACACCACCACCAAAGATATCTTAAGAACTTTAAGCTTTAATTTAGAACTTTAAAACTTGCTGATAATTAAAACATTATATAATAATAAGGTCTATGTGCCTTAAAATACTATTATTTTCATATCACAATAACTTAATTTTGGTGTCCTATTACAATATCTGTAAAAGTACTTATTTAACAAACAGTTGAGCAATCTTGCATTTTGCAATTAGTACAGTTATAGTGAATTAGTACTTTGTAAAAGGAAGTCAAAACACCTTTTGTTTACATTTTGCTATCTTTATCGCAAATTATTTCTTAGTCAACACTATTTTTTACATGTGATAAGCATCTTACATGCTTTAAATCTGTAATAACAATATTACAAGGTTAGCTTTAAAAAAAAGCTAGTAGCGACTCGCTTCGTAATTTTTTTCCAGGGGTGCGTTTAAATGTAAAAATGACAGTTCTGTTAGCTGAAGAGACTTGAGCGAACATCAAAATAAAAGTGATGGAAGCCAGTTCTCTCAGTTTAACAAAGAGGAATATGAGTATATATGAAGATGCATGTAAACAGATAAAATGAAGTCCCTATATATGTCTATGCACATTTACTGTATAGCCTGTTGACCGTGACCAAATAAATGTTAGAAAGGTAGAATTCATAACTCTAGATGTCTCTTTATACAAAGTTAAGTTAATATAAAGTTAAGTTAATAATATGTTATTTAGTATTGGAATGAGTGACAGACAAACACAAGTTGTCAATCAATCCAGCCAGAAAAGCCGGGATCTTATTAAAAATATAGGGATCCCGGAAATTGACCAGTCTAAGATGTTTTTCAGATAAGCCGAGATCCTATTAAAACATATAGGGATCCCGGGAATTGACCAGTTAGAGAATATAGTTTTCAGAAAAGCCGGGATCGTATTAAAATATAAAGAGATCCCAGGAATTAGCCAGTTCAAGAATATAGTTTTCAGAAAAGCTGGGATCGCATTTAAACATAAGTATTGTGATTTCCGCATTTTAAGTTTGTTAATAAATAGCTCTAAATATATTTATATCCTAAGTTTAATTAATTTAACGTTCATTACATACAATAAAAAAACTTAACGTTTAATGGCCTTTCATTACGACAATAATCAACACAAATATAGTTTATTTGTTTTTCCTCTATATCTTATACGATCCCGGATCCCGGCCAGTCCGGGCGTCCCGGATCCCGGCCAGTAAATATATACACTAAATACCGGAAAAGATAAAATGACCGGAAAAAAGGAAAAAGAAAAAAATGCACAGAACCAGATGTACACTTATGTTAATTAACCAAACGAAAACTTACTACTGAGGAACAGGTGAGATCGCTAAATCAAAAGTCAGTGTAAATATGATTTATTGAAAAGAATTCATGAAAACAACCATTTTAATCATCAGTATATCTTTGCGCTCAAAAAAATACTTGCTGCTTTTTAAAAATGGCGTGAAAATTGAAGGTTTTTTGACGCTATGTAAGATTAAATTTGATTGGCTAAATAATTTTTGATCCTAGCCCTGATAGATAAATTTTGTAGAAAGCTGGAAGCCAAGCTTCGATTGAATTTTTGGATGGATTCGGAGTTTTAGGTTGTTTCTCAGTAAAATCCTAACGTAATACCGGCTCGCCGTGGCGAGCCGGCATAAAGCACATGTTTGCCCTTTGTTCAGAGAGAAAAACAATATTATTACTTTTTGAGGCATTTTGTGCCTTTAAAGCTGCATGCCTCCAGATGAGCCAAAATATTTCAATAAAAACACACTTATGAAATATGTACTAAGATTGTAAGAAAAGTAAAAATATTTTAGATTTAAGTTATAATTTATATCTCATATGTGCAATAAATGTCTGATTTTGCAGTATTTATCACCATATTTCTACTGCGCTACTAACACAGTAAGGGCTATTTTTGCATATTTCAACCTCTTTTTTGGTAATTTACATGGATTGTAAGTGTATTTTTCAGTTATTAAATTACTTTCTTTGTTCACTTCACAATATATTACTTTGAAATACATTTTCAAAATTTTCATGAAAATCAGGATGAATCTGGAGGTGTGCTGCTTTAAAAATGATTAGATTTAAGATTGAAATCTCAATATGACCATGATTTGAGCGGCGTCATGACAAAACCAACATAGTGCGTTTGCGACCAGCATGGATCCAGACCAGCCTGCGCATCCCCGCAGTCTGATCAGGATCCATGCTGGTCGCTATCAGTTTCTCTACTTAATTGTAATAGGGTTGCGCAGGCTGGTCTGGATCCAAACTGGTGCTGGTC